CCCCCCCCCCAGCATGCTGTTTGTGTGCACATGCATACACAGATACATACACATACCCTACCCTTCTCTGCCCATTGCTAGGTAATTTTTTTTAAAACCTAAATATTCTCTTATAGCTACTTTTAGTAATGTAGCCTCTGTAATCTTCTCTTGGTTTTTGCTTATTCCTGATTATAAACCTAAATGTATAATAGTTTCTTCTGCCACTTCCTTTGCTCCTCTTTCTGTCCTGTGAAGAATCAAAACTGAGGCATTTATGGAGTAAAATATAAAGCAAATGTTCTGAGTTGCATGTATAGTAAGTCAAGGGAAGCAGTGCTGCGAAGTGAGTCAGGCCCTGGATCTGAAAGTCACCTATGTCACTTACCATCCTGTGAGCTTAGGAAAATTACTGTATCTTCTTAGGTCTTTCGTTTCCTTATGAGTAAACAATTATATACCTATGTCATAGGATTTTTGTGAGAATTAAATAAAATAATGCATGTAAATACAGTATATGGCAGGCACATAATCAGTGGTCAGTAAACGATAGCCAAGGTACTTGTCAAGCTTAGCATCATGAGAGATAAAGCATACTTTGACTTCAAATCCCACTTGTGGATTATAAAAGATAATCTTGCACCAGGTCTGTGAACTTATTTGGACTATTAAAAATTTTTTTCTGGATTAAGTTTGCACTCGTATATCTTTCTTTAAATTTAGAAAACTCTAACATATTGAGTTATAATTTATATACAGTAAAATGTAATCATTTTAATTGTACAGCTTGATGAGTTTTGAAAAGTGTCTATACCTGTGTAACTACCATTATGATCAAGATATAAAACATTTCCATTGGCCCAACAGTTCCCTCATGCTTGTTTAAGGTCAGCCTCCCCCATCTCTTTTTAATAATAGATATTTTCATAATACAGGTTCATAATTCAAACCTAGTTTTAGCCGATATGAGTCTATGTTCTTAAACCAGTCTGCTGTATTATTTATGAGTTTATATTCTCATAATTCCCACTATATAATATTTGCTCAAAGCCCAATGTTACCTACTCAAATTTGGCAAACTAGCAAATAGGCTTTAGGTTCTCAGGAAGAAATATTTCTTATGTATTATATCTTTAATACTCTTTTTAAGTTAACTCTGAAAATGGCCCATTCCCCCCCCTTTTTATTGAATTTATTGGGGTAATACTTGTTAACAAAATTATACAGGTTTCAGGTGCACAGTTCCATAACACATCAGCTGTACACTGTGTTTACCACCCCAAGTCGTCTGTCCATCACCATTTATCTCCCATATATCCTCCTCCATCTCCCCCCACTCCTCCCTCTCCCTGGCAATCACCACACTGTTGTCGGTGGGCCCATTGTTTTTAATATCCTTTGCTTTTACTAGCATGTGGATATTGACTATGCAGTTAGATTGTCTCCTGGTTTAAAACCAGTTATTAATGTCTGAGCCCCAAACAATAAGAATTAGTGTTAGCCTTTTGACTTGCTGTTTAGCGTGTAGCCACTTTTCATTTTGTCTATTTTAGTTTTGTTGACAGTATAATATTCTTTATTTTTCCAGTTTTTCTCATGGTTTGCAAAGCTACAAACTCAGATGGATCAGGATGAAGAAACTAAATATAGGTATGTGACTCTTGCATTTGTTGGCTATCCTAATTTTTAGTCACAGTCATCTGAAGCATCTTCTAATCTGTGTCTCTACACAAAATTAAGGTACAAGGAAAACTCCAACAGCAATATTTCCTTTAAAAATAGCCAGGGAGAGGATTTGGGTCAACCGGTATTAGAAGTTGTGTAATTAAAAAAAAGTTACATTGTAATTAATAAGTTAGGGGGTGCAGATACTGGTTTTTAGATAACTCTAGAAAGGTTTGTGTTCAAGTGGAAATTTTACAGGAACTCTAAGAGGTGTTTGTTGCCTTTCTTCAGAAGGAGAGACCCAAGAGACTTTATGGATGGCCACCTAGCTTCTAGGGTGTAACTATGTTGTTCTCTTTGTGTATAATTGATAGCATGGGAGAAATGGTAGTGTATAGTTTCTGGCTGATTTGGGGACCATGGCTTGAGCATTTGCATTTATTAAGTAACTGTAATTGCTAAGCATTATGTTAGGCTCCTTGATGTATGATTCCATTTAATCTTTATAGCAGCTCTGTGAGGAAAGGTAATATTATTATCATTTTACAAATAAGCAGACTGAGGCCTGAAAATATTAAGTAACTTGCCTAATGTCATGGAGACTTGGGCAGAGCTGGGATTTGGACTTAGGTCTTCTAATTCTGAGTCCAGAATTATTCCCATCACATCACACTATCTTTGAAAGGTGGAAGTGACTTGAAGGATTGACCTACTTGGTACCTTGGGATGGCCCTTGTGTCCCAGACTTTGAAAGTTAAACTGGTGATTATTGCCTTACATGTGAAAAGCCAGTTTATGGCTTCATGGCTGATTCCCTTTGTTGTTACTTTTAGTTTCAGTAGTTTTCCTTCTTAAGTATTAAAACAGTTTGTAACATAGCTTTTGGTACATTTCTGAAAATAATGAACTGTAGTGAATAGGCCTGACTTTACTCCTGAAATTCAAGCGTTTGGGGAAAAGTAAGACTTTGTTGTTTATTTTCTATGCTTATTGGGGGAAAATATTATTTCCAATCCCCTTTTGGTTCTGTTTTCTAGACAGATGAGGGATTACTTGTCTGGGTTTCAGGAGCAGTGTGATGCTATATTGAATGATGTAAACAATGCTCTTCAGCATCTGGAATCATTGCAGAAACAGTATCTTTTTGTGTCCAATAAGACAGGAACCCTACATGAAGCCTGTGAACAACTCCTAAAAGAACAGGTAATTTGGAGTAGGAGAGAGGGTCAGTGATTATATTTACTATTTAATTTTAAAATAGATGACTACTGTTTAATTCTAGTTTCCTTAGTTTCTCCAGCTGTATATTTTTTTTAATCTTCACCCGAGGATACTTTTCCCATTGATTTCTAGAGAGAGTGGAAGAGAGGGAAGGGTGGGGGGGAAGAGAAATATCAACTTGAGAGAGACAATTGATTGCCTCCCACATGTGCCCCCATCAGGGACGGGGAACCGGCAACTGAGGTATGTGCCCTTGACCAGGAATTGAACCTGTGATCCTTTGGTCTGAGGGCAGACGCTCTAACCACTGAGCACACCGGCCAAGCCTCTCATATTGAACACTACTCTGTATGAAGCCCTGTGCTGAGCATGCAAAATATTACATTGACAGCCTTCTTTCATTTTAAATAAGCTTATGTGAATGGGGCAAGGACAAGCTTTCCTGTATTTTGAGCTGTTAGGTCTCAGTATAATCTCAGAGTGAAGAGGATATAGTAGTTTGCTCCTTTTGCTCTTTATCATGGATGCTTTTGAAACAAGCATAGCGATTGTGGTAATGGTGAGGTTTAAGAAAAGATGAACTGATGTAGGTTGTGCTTAAACTGTGACTTAAAGATAGACTATTTTCGTTACTATGATTATATCAGAGTTTTCTCTATGTGTGTTGTTTTTAAAAAGGCAATTATTTATTATTTTGTAAGATGATAGATAATTTACTGTGATAATCATCACTTATTTCAGTCCATGATGATAAAAATCTCTGAGCATTATTCTGAAATTTTATATCAATTCAGTGTAATTTTGAGACTGGAATGTTGATTTTTATGTTGTCATAATAACTGATTTTTCTCTTTTATAAAATGCAAGTCGGAACTTGTTGATCTGGCTGAAAACATTCAACAAAAGCTTTCCTATTTTAATGAATTGGAAACTATTAACACAGTAAGCATTTTTTTTACTTTTTGTAAAGTTAGTGACTTTATATTTCCCTTTCTGAGTATGATATTAAACCTATAAATTGGCTGGAGTGATATTTTAACTTAATAGTTTGCTTGCTGAAAGTATTCCTATTTGTGGCCAATGGACATACCATTACCAGTTCAAATTTTTTCAAATATGATTTAAGTAATAGTTTTGTTTAAATTGTATTATTGTTAATAAATCTCTTTGTTGGTTACCTCTTATAGTATCTTATTTGTAAGCTGTGAAGAAGATTATAAGAAGAAATATTAAATTTTAAATCTTGCTGTGCTTGAACTACAATAATAAAAATTTAAAAAAAAACTAATTTCATATTTAGTGTGAGGAAAAGTATAGTCATCATAATGCATACTTGTATCCCAAAGTAATAGTCTCAATAAAGACTGCGGTGTAAATGATATTTCTGGTTCATAAATTAATCATAACTATATGCACATCATGTTATTAAAATATTAAATTAATCATAATTATAATTTACTAAAGAAATAGAAGTAAACCTAGTGGCCAGTTAACAATGGAATGCAATGGGAAATAGATCATTGCCAAGCTATTTGTATATTGAGATAAGAAATAATTGGCTGGTTTTACTTATATTTTATACATATTATATTTATATTATATTTTTATATTAAATATTGTATATTATATTACTTTATATTTTAGTATATAATCTTATATATTAAGTGTTAAATTTCATGCTCATATATTACCTATATTTATGCTTATATTAGTATTATTACTTATATGCTTACTTATATTTTACTTCTATGTGTTATATTTTACTTTCATAGTATGACTGCTAAACAGAGTATGACTGATTACTAGTTAATCCTTTAACCTTGGGAAAATAGCCAGTGTTTGAAAATAGAAAATTTATGTATGTTGTAAAGTACTAGTAAATGGGAAGTTTAGGTACTTGATGAGTTATTTTAATATAACGTTGTACAATGAAATAATAAAATATTTGCCAATTCATCAAGAGCTCCATTAAAGCTCATTAGGAATGAACTGAATTCAATCACTATTCTTTTTTAGTTGTCCTTTATTGTTACACATGGGCTAATTTGAGGATATTTTTGTCACTCAAGATGTAAAGATATTAGTATAACTGTGTTATATATCCTAAAGGGAGATATGCTAATTCTTATACATAATTATCATTTTTTACCAGTATACTTTTTATAAATTAATATTTTTTTTCTTTTCCCTTAAAGAAATTGAATTCCCCTACATTGTCTGTGAATAGTGAAGGATTTATACCTATGCTGGCCAAGTTAGATGATTGTATAACATATATCTCATCCCATGTAAGTCATGTATTTCTGTATGTTTTTAAAGAAACCTTAACATCCCTATTAATTTGCTTCTTAGACTGTAAAATAATTATTTCTTATGAAGGGAAAAATATATCTCTAATGTACTTGAAGAAAAACTGTGGTAAAATCTTAGTCATTGCTGATAGTGAAATAAAAAGTACTTTCAGCTGCTGAGGCAGCCCCTGGAGTAGAATGAGGTCCTGACTGACACAACTTTGTCCCACCTAAAAGGATGAGTGAATTTTAGGCTATTGAATTCCTGTTGTGCTAGGTATTATTCCTCAAGGATTTTTAGCTGCATTTATTTCCCCCAACTCATATTCTTTTCCATTTGAGCCTGACATATTAGCCTTGAAGTCAAGTATTTATTGAGCCCCTACTTTGTTCCAGGCACAGGGAACTTGGCTGTGACCAAGATAATCACAGTATTTGTCTTCATGGAACTTTCAGTCTGCATAAGACCTTTTGAATTTTATATTTAGCTTTACTAAAGGACATTTTGGTTTTCATTGAAAGTTTGCTTTGTCAATGTTTGTTTCCTCTTTGTTAATCTTTCCTTTTTCTTTACAGCCAAATTTTAAAGATTATCCTGTATATTTACTGAAGTTTAAGCAATGTCTTTCTAAAGCTTTGCACCTCATGAAGACATACACTGTGAACATACTACAGAACCTCACAAATCAGTTATTAAAAAGGGTGAGTTAACTGGTGAGGTTTTTGGTTTGCTTGCTTTGTTTTTTTATTCATTTATCTTCTGTAATCTTAGCCTGAGAGTAGTACTTAGTAAATCCCAAATTTTTTTTACCTTTTGTTAAATAAGAATATGCATTGCAGTTTTATTTATAATAGGAAAAGTGGTTGTATTGTATCTGTCCATCAAAGTCTTATTTTTCAAAGAATGTGTAACTGTGGGAACTATTCGATTCTAATGAAATAATATCAGATTCAAACTGTTTGTCACTTAAAACATTTTCTTATATTTTTATGAAAATACTGGAAGGAGATACACTGAAATAATAAAAGTGGTTCTGTCTGAGTGGTGAGATTACATATGATGGGTAATTTGAAATTTTTTCTTTACATGTGGTGAATAATTAAGTTTTCTATGCAGAGCAAATATATTTTCATTGAGCACCTCCTAAATGCTTTGCGTTGCACTAGGAATTATACAGTAGTGAAAAGGAGCTAGCAAGGTCCCTGCCCTCATGGAGCTTATTATATTCAGGATAAATAATCAGTAAAGAAGGAAACAAATCAGTCATTTGCATATTGTAGTAGATGCTAGGTGGGAAATTAGAGTGTTAGGTTAGAAAATAAGAGTGGGACTTGCTAGGATGGTCATTGAGCACATTTCTTTACTAAGAAAATAAAACCATAAAGATTATACATTTTATTTTTTAAGTTTTTCTAAACAACATTGAATATCTTCTGAGCTTCAGTTCAAAGCCACTGATTTTTGGGTTGCATTTTTACTGTTCACATTGCTCTTGGCTGACATAACAGTCAGACTATATAATTTTTCTATTTTGTAAAACTTTTAATAAGTTTAGGAAACTAATACCAAATAAGTACTACTACCTACTATGTATAGTGCTTTACTATTGAGCCACGTAATAACTTTATGAGTATAGGTTATCACCTTTAAATGGACGCTTGGAATCTCAGAGAGGTTAAGTAATTTGGTCAATGTCTTACTCTCAGTAAATGACTGAGCATGAAGCTGAATTCAGGCCTGTTTACCTCCAAAATTCATGTAACATGGGATAAGTTTTAATGATAAGAGGTGAGAGATGACAGTTCTTCATAATTATTTCTCATTTGTAGCAATATAATAATATTAATCTCTCTTTGAGATTTTTCTCTCTAAGCTTTTGGTTGGTGTGTAGGCCAAGCAGTAGTTATTTGAAATGGTGTGCATCACATTTTCTGAATACTTATTTGTTTGCTAATTATCTTCCTTCCCTATCCTCCCCCATGTTTCTTTAGGATCCTTCATCTGTACCTAATGCAGACAACGCCTTCACACTATTTTATGTGAAATTTCGAACTGCTGCCCCCAAAGTCAGAGTAAGTCTGTTGACATAAATAGAATATTGCTATGAAATTTATTTAGCCAGCCCCTTTGAAGTACTATTATATGTTAGGCCCTTTGCTTATACCAGGAAAATGAACATGAGTGAAAGAAAGTTAGGCATTGTCCTTCCACATTACATTACATTATCTCAGAGGCACCTTAAGACCACCGAGCAGGAAACGCCCTCTAAGATGCTTAGGGAATGTTTCTAGATGAAGGAGATAATTGAGCTTAAATGACTCAGATTTATAGTGGACTTGAGGGGATTGATTACTTATAGAAAATACAAATGGTTAATAAATATGAACTCATGTTTAGCTTCAGTGGAGAATACATTCAATTTAAGGTTAGGTGGCATTTTTTTGTCTGTTAGAAACTGGGAGATCAAGGTGTAATAGTGCTTTTTTTTTTTTTTTAAATATATCTTTATTGATTTCAGAGAGAGGAAAGGAGAGGGAGAGATAGAAACATCAACGATGAGAGAGTCATTGATCGAGCCCACAACTTGGGCATGTGCCCTGACTGGGATTCTAACCCCGATCACCTGGATCCTAGGTCGACGCTCAACGGCTGAGCCACGCCCGGCCGGGCTGTAATAGTGCTTTTGAGGATTTAGTGAGACAGGCAATACTGCTGATAGGGATGTGAAGCAATTTCTTTCTCAAAAACATTTTAGGAGTATGAATCAGAAGCCTATAAAAATATTTATCTCTTATGACCCAGTGTTGGAGGTTCCCAACTGGGAAGTAGGTAACTGTTATTATACCAGCTTTATATGATAGAAAGTGGAATCTCAGAGAAGTGAACCAGCTCTCCTGGGCTCAAAACAGCTATTGGGAAGCTGGCAATCACACCCTCTAGTTTTTCTCTAGGCCCAGAGGTCTTAACCACTGGGCTATTATTCTTAAGAAACAGCCAAGATGCCTGGCTGGGTGTGGCTCAGTGGTTGATCATTGACCTAGGATCCAGGAGATGGCAGTTCAATTCCCAGTCAGGGCACATGCCCGGGTTGCAGGCTCAATCACCAGTAGGGGCCATGCAGGAGGCAGCAGATCAATGACTCTCATCATTGATGTTTCTCTCTCTCTCTCTCTCCCTCTCCCTTCCTTTCTCTGAAATCAATAAAGATATATTAAAAAAAAAAAAAAGAAAAAAAGAAACAGCCAAGATGCCCAAGAGTAGAAGAATGGTTGATTTATGGTACATCTACCCAAGGGGATATTATGTAGTTATTTAAACAAATGTTTTAAATAATATTTATAATGATGATTCATTGAGTGTTTCCTAGGTACCCAGGCATTATGCTAAGGCTTTATATTTTCATCTGACATCGAGCATTATTTAATAATAGGAAAATCTTTTGAAATAATGTTAATTTTTCAAAAACAGATTATAAAGATGAATATGTAATATAATTTCCAGTTTTGTGTAAAAATTAAAATATAGCCCTGATTGATGTGGCTCAATGATTGTAGCATTGGCCTGCATACTGAAGCGTCAAGGGTACATATCTGGGTTGCAAGTTTGATCCTGGGCCCCAGTTGGGGTGGGGGGGAGGCAATCAATTGATGTGTCTCCCACATCTATGTTTCTCTCTCTCTCTCTCTCTCTCTCCCCTCCCTCCCTTCCATGCTCTCTAAAAAACAATGGGAAAAAATATCCTCAGGTGAGGATTAACAACAACAACAGAAAAAAATATATAGTAACTATATAGTGTGTACAAAAAAACTGAAAGAATATTCTAAAATATTAACTGATTATTTTGTGGTATTAAATATTTTTATATTTCAACTTCTTTGTATTTACAGATTTTTCTAATAGCATATGTTATAATCAGAAAGTAGTTAAGAGTCCGTAACTAAAATAGATGGATTTTTAATTTTTTTTTTTTATTCTGCAGACTCTTATTGAACAAATAGAACAGCGATCTGAAAAAACACCTGAGTGAGTACCTAGAATTTCTTTAGTTTCCACATTACCTTCTTGAAGTACATTTCCCCCACCTATTATGTCCGAGATATTTTCTGAGCAGTTACCTTGCATGCTATGCAAGCTGCTTCTTATAGTATATGACTTATTTTGGGGAGCAAGGTTATAGACCTGATGTAGTGAGTGTGCAAGTCATCTCTCTCTGTTTGTTTGCTTATTTACTTATTTTTACTGAGGAGTAATGACATGCAACTTACTAGTTTCAGGCATACAACGTAGTGATTCAATATGATCACCACTGTAAGTCTAGTTAATATCCGTTACCATGCTTAGTTACAAAATTATATTTTTCTTGTGATGAGAACTTTTAAGATTTACTCTCAGCAACTTTCAAATATGCAATGTAGGTAGTATCATTAACTATAACTGCCATGCTGTACATTTCAGCAAGGCATTTCTTTTTTCCTATAGCAGGATTTTCTTTTCGTTTGGGTAGATGTAAGATGTCTACTCTTGGAAGATAAATCTTTCATTAAAAAATAAAGGTTTAGCCCTGGCTGGTTTGGCTCAGTGCTTAGGGCGTCAGCCTTTGACTGAAGGGCCCCAGGTTCGATTCCCCGTCAAGGGCACGTACCTGGGTTGCAGGCTCCATTCCTGATCCAGGTTGGGGCGCATGCGGGAGGCAACCAGTAGATGTGTCTCTCTCATGTTGATGTTTCTGTCTCTCTCTTTCTCCCTCCCACTCTCTGAAAAGCAAGGGAAAAAATATCCTTGGGAGAGAATTAAAAAAAAAAAAATAGCCTGGCTGGCATGGCTCAGTGGTTGAGTATCAACCTATGATCCAGGAGATCGAGGTTCGATACCTTGTTAGGGCACATGCCTGGGTTGTGAGCTCTGTCCCCAGTGGGGGGCCTGCAGGAGGCAGCCAATCAATGACTCTTTCATCACTGATTTTTTTTATCTCTTCCTTTCCCTTCCTCTCTCTGAAATCAGTAAAGACATATTTAAAATAAATAAATAAATAAGTAAATAAATAAATAAAGGTTTAAACTCCAAAGTTAGAGAATTTGGCACTGTGGTTTATTATGTGTGTGTTTTTGTGGTGGTTGTTTTTTAATCCTCACCTGAGGGTATTTTTTTCCATTGCTTTTCAGAGAGAGTGCAAGGGAGGGAGGGAGGGGAAGAGAACAGGAGAGAGAAAGGGAAACGTCGATGTGAGAGAGACATACCCACTGGCTGCCTCCCGCACGTGTCTGGACTGGGGCTGGTGATCGAGCCTACAACCCAGGCACGTGCCCTTGGCTGGGAATGGAATCTGGGATTCTGCAGTCCGTGGGCTGACACTCTAGCCACTGAGCCAAGCTGGCTAGGGCTAGTGTGTCTTTTTATATGCATACATAAACATTTTTAATATTTAATGTGGGCAAATGAGAGGTGATCATATAGCTTTAGAGATTTGGCAACCTATGCTGGGACTTAAGATCAGATATAATTTACATATCTGAAATCATAAGTTTATACTCTCATTTCATTTGCTTTTCATCAGATACCAACAACTGCTAAACGACATCCACCAGTGTTACCTTGATCAGCGGGAGCTCCTTTTGGGCCCTAGTATTACTCGTACTGTAACAGAGTTAACCAGCCAGAATAACAGAGATCATTGTGCCTTGGTAAGTTTCTGCTTGTTTTGGTTTAATGTTAAACCTTCCTCTGAAATATTTTGATAACCTAGAAGCTGTATTTGGCTAAATAAGTTTTAGTTTCCATATCAACAAACTTAAATAATTTTTCTTTCAGTTATGACAAATCTATTTTAGTAATTAGCATTTTGGCAAAAGAATCTCCTTTTGATCTATTTTTTGAGGTATGATGATTCACAAATATGTATTGTTCCTTGAAAGATGAAGTTTCAAGGTTTGTGGATTTATCTTAGCTTTTGCTGCAGAAGTACTTCCTTATTTAGTGTGATTTTAATTTATGCTATAGAAAAATAAAGATTCTTTTTTTAACTACCCCCATTCAACTAGAAAAGGGATTTATTTTCCTTGTCAAAAGTTTAGATAATAATGCAGACAAAGAAAATAAAAATCACCATGTTCACATTATGCAGTAAACCATTGAAAACCAACCATTTTTTGTGCTTCAGTAAGTTGTTTTATGAATGTATATGCATAATCTCTTTCCAAATAAAATATTTGCTTGATTTCATGAATGCTAGAATTGTTGTGTGTCTTTAACTGTAGGTGGTGTATATTTGTTTCTTGCAGATTCGCAGTGGCTGTGCCTTTATGGTCCATGTGTGTCAGGATGAACACCAACTTTACAATGAATTTTTCACAAAACCAACATCAAAATTAGAGTAGGTAGTTTAACTTATTTTTAAGATTTAATTTGCTAATGATTATAATGACTTATTATATTATAGGAGTATTCTTTTTTGTTGTTTTTGTTAAAAATATTACAGATGTCCCTTTTTCTCCCCAATGACCCATTCCATCCCGTTCCTTCCCCCTCCCCAGT